GGGTGTGTGTGTGTGTGTGTGTGTGTGTGTGTGTGTGTGTGATGACGACAGTGTGTCTCTACTCCAACAGTTCCAGGTTCTATGAATGCTGGGAGGAAGGCCTTTGTAATTGAACAATCCAAACAGAAGGCAGTTCTCTGGGGGGGGGTTGGGGGGGGGGTAATTAAACCAGGGTGCCACACACACTCTCACCTCTGTCTAATGAAAGAGCAGAGAACGGGAGAGAGAGAGAGAGACGCAGCCTGAGATAATGTTGAACCATGGAAAAGTAGAAAGAGTGGTGGAAATAAAGAGACAACGGGGGACAGGAGGACGAGAGGACGGGCGGAGGACGGGGAGACCAGAGATCCACCAGAGAAAAGGAGTGAAATAAAAGAGGACAGAGAGAGTATTGACTGACTAACAGCTGCAGTCAGACCTGGTTATTTATTCATGGAGTGTCCACTGCTGTGGAACAACTGGTGTCACACACACCCTCACACACACACACGCACACACACACAGTGCTAAATTCACCAGTTGCAACCAGACTGAAATGATCTCCCATCTCTGATTGGCCAGTGATGAGGTGCAGCAGCAGTGTGTGTGTGTGTGTGTAACTGGTTCTGACGTTTATAAGTGCGACCAGTGTATTTTTGGATCTAATGTAAAACAGAGTTACATTTATTATGTATATATATATATATATATGTATTTTTATATATATATATATATAATATATATATATATATGCCAACAGTCGACCACCGATTCACTGTAACCGAAGAGAGAAAACGTGGAAAGCGTGTGAAGGAGAGGAAGTGATTTGTGTTTGGGTTAATTCAGTGGCGCCTTCTGTGGGAGCTGAGCCTCCTCCTCCTCATCATCATCATCATCATCATCATCATCATCTCCCCTTTACACAACGTGACACCGAGGTTTGTACTAATTGCTCAGCTTTGCCTTTTCTCTGCAGATTTCGCTGACACAGAGAAAAATGAGCTGAATAAGAGGTGGCCTGGGGACACACACACACACACACACACACACACACACTGATCTGAGCCACCCATCGTCTTCACCACAGACGAGTGTTTGGTGTTGACTGAGTCAATTGTAGCCCCGCCCCCATCACAGTTCCAACACAATTACTTCAATTTTTTTTTTTGGGAGAATTTAACAGTTAATACTTCGTGCAGTGCAGTATCTTCTGTTGTCATTTTTTTTTTTGGGAGAATTTAACAGTTAATGCTTCGTGCAGTGCAGTGTCTTCTGTTGTCAATTTTGTTTTTTATTATTTCCAAAACACGAGGAAAGGCACCAGTTTAGGGAGAACATCGAGCATTTCATTTATTAAGTGTTGTAATTGATTTTCTGTCTGAAAGATGGCGCCGTAGGTGAACCCAGGTGAACGCCTCGCTCCAGTTTCTGAAACGTGTAATAGGTCCGTGTTAACACGGAGTCAGGGCCGACTGATGAACAAACTGGGATGATTAGAGTCTTTTGTGTCGTCATTCAGATACATCTGCAGATCAAAGATGTCGACACAACGACACAATAAAAGAAGGCGGGTGAAAAGCAAACTCCAGGCAGGAGGATGTCTGTGCACGGACGTCGGAGGAGTTTGAGGTGCGCGGCAGTAAAAAGCCTCCAGGGAGTGGAGTAATTCCACGCCGATGTGTTTGGTGTGTGTGTGTGTGTGTTCGGTGTGTGTGTGTGAGATGTCCTCAAAGTAGCCCACTTAGCCGGGAACACTGCTGAGACGGCAGATTGGATTTAGGGAATAATGATGGTGCAGCCAGGCGGTCGAAACGCGGTGAAGGTTTGCGGTGGCGTTTGAAGACGAGGGGACGAACGCCGCTGTTTGAACAAATTCCTCACATTTGCAGAGTCAATACCCAATTTCACACTCACTCACCCAGACACTCTCAGAAACAGTCGCTGTTTAAGCCAACCATGAGCTACAAATGTGTTCTGTGGCAACTTCACTGAGGGAATGGAGGGAAATGAAAACAAAAAAAGAAAAATGTGAAAATAAATCTTTAAAAAAGTCCTCAAAGAAGAAGTTAAGAATGGAATTGTTCCTATTTCTCCACTTTCACGATGATCATTTTCGCTGCAGCGTTTGTTAGCATTAGTTCACTCACTTCCTGATGACCGAGTTATTTTTTGACGGCGCCTGCATGTGGCCAGACTTGGAATTGTCATTACAGGAGTAAAACTACTTCCTGTGAGTGTTAATATTTAGAGGTAAATTCCACAAAGACATTCATAACGAGAAACTGCAGTTATTGAATATGAAGTACTGTGCATGTTGAAGTATTATAAAGTATTTACTTCAGTATCTTACCAGGAGACACTGCCAGCTGAAAGTGATGCAGTTTGTCCTCATCAGGGAAACTGGCTTTGCATGTACCTGAGCAAGTACAAATGAAGGGGGGGGAGGGTGGAAGGGGGGGTAGTATTAACTGACAGGAATAAAAATGTCAAAGTGAAAACGTGTTTTATTTCTGTTAGAGTAGAAAAAAAATCAATGAAGTATTTTCTGCATCATCTTCATCAGTACAGAATCTACACACGGCACCATATCGCCACCTGGTGTTCAAGGATTTGAACTGCACCTGGGACAGCAGTACCAATATTTACTGTGAAGTACATATTCTAAAGAAATACTACAGCCCCTGATAGTCAGGGAGTTTTTAAAGACAATTTAGATGATTTTCACTCACTGTGTGGAGTCACTTATTAGAGATCAAAAAAGGGCTATAAACTCTAGTGTGTGTATCAAAGTTGACTACCAGCTGTACTTCAGTCTGTAGACGTGTATGGTGTACTTACTAGGCAGATTGGCTTCAAGTTCTGCAACTTCTGTCAAGAGAAAAAAAAATCACCTCAACAATAACTCAGAGAGGAATAGATGTCGTATTTCTTTAAAAAAATTTCTTATTTACATTATATTTATGTGTGAATACAATATGTCCCAGATGAACTCTCTGGTTCTAACAATTCAATAACGACTGGAGGTTTAACTCTGGTACCTTTGGTGAGGAGACGATCCCTGATGGAGACCCTGTGGGTGGAGTCAGAGGTTCCAGGCACCCGGCCCGTCTTTCCTCCGTCATCCCTCTTCAGTTTACTGGCCAGTGTTAGCATGGCTAAAGCTCTGACTCTGACTGCACCACCACCACCACCACCACGCTGCTGCTGCTGCTCAGATGCAGACTAGGGACAGAGCCAATCAAGAGTCACAATCAGATTTGAATTTGCATAAAAAAAGACTTCAGAAATCATTTATATAATAAACTATTCCATGGACAGAATTAGTTATACTGTATGTACATTTTGAAGGTTAAAAAAGGAAGTACTGAGTGGTGTACTTCCCTGTTTTGTTGGGGGAGGGGGGGGGTGAGGAGGGGGTTAGTGGCAGAGAGGATAGGTATCAGGTAACACGTGTGCTTAATTCTGGCTGACTCTGTGTCCACCTGCCTCAGCAGTCAATCACTGCAGCTTCATGTTACTCACTAACGTGTACTACCTGTGTATCAGTGATTAGTAAAGCTGCGCCGGTGCCTCCTTCCTTCCTCTGTTTTGACCATACATATACAGCATCGCTCCTGTTTACTGTAAAATATATGTAAAGTATATGATGTTGTACACAGATTTCTCATCATTTCATGATTTGATTATGTAATTTCATTTCAGACTTTAATTGTAAAACCTGGGAAGTTAAGTATGTGAGGTTAAAATACTAATAATAATATACAATATATATTACAAATAATTTAAAATTGTGTATTTACACACACAGAGCCATAGCCTCCAGAGTTTACACCAAACGATATCCCACTTTTACATTTGAGCCAAATAAAAACAGACTTCGTCCAACCTCACGGGCTGATTCTATTTGTAAACAACAACCATCAGGTGGAATCAGTTTAACTGGTCTGGTCATTTAACTAGCTGTAACCAGTCTAAGCAGGTAAAATGGTGTAGCACGTAACTGCCGGCTGAATATATCACGTCAAACACATTTGAAAAATTGCATATCCTTGTCGTTAAATATTTATTGATGCGTTTTAAAGGGACACTGCTGCTGCTGCTGCCAGTGTTTTTATGTTACAGATGTGCCGCTGACGTGATCACCAACAACCGGCTAACGGTGCTAATGACAGCTAGCTTCTTATAACCTTAAAGATCCAAACCGCCGTAAACCCAGAGGTTATTCCTCCCAGGTATGACATTTATGACAACATGACCGCGTCGTCGGGTTGTATTCAATGTGTTCTGCTAGCCACTGCTATTTTAGAATTGTTATGTACTTTTACCTGCTGCGTCGGAGTTAGCGCTGAGGGCTACACCATAATCAAACAGCGCTTCTTCGTCCAAGGCTCCGATCTAAAGTGCAATCGGAGACTGTCGCGGACACGTCCGACCCACAATCACGCTTAAATCTGAGGATTCGGGGTCACTGGGTTGGTGACACTGACTAAAAGATCAGCTGTCAGAACTTCGATCCGGCGTCATGAGCAACGGAAGTGCGGTATAGGCCGTTCGTCATTGGTGTCCGGGTTCACACGCAAGTGGATAAACAGTTCCGAGAAACAGCTCCGCTTCCAGCAACTCAGAAAACCCGTAATTCCACCCTTATTATTATTATTATTATTATTATTATTATTATTATTATTATATACTGCTACCTGTTATCGTTTGTGGGACGACGTAAGCTTCACAGTCGTTTAACTTAAACCACGTATTTAAAATAACAACATATTGTATATGAACCTGTGTTTTATTTGATAAACCAGTCAGTCAAATGCAAAATAAGGATAAGAAATGGCTCGAAAAAACGCTTGGAAAAATACCAGTCAATTACTTCATCCAAATAACTTTGTAGCCTGAACTGAAACGGATCGCATCCAGTAGAGGGCAGTGTTGTTTCATTTGCACTCAAACATATACAGTAAAGACACACGGCATGAATTTAAATGGATGCTACAGGTACATTTGTAGATTACGATTTACAGAGTTTCATATCAGCAGACATTTTGTCAGGAGGCATCTGTGTTGGTGTTCAGTTACGTTTCATAGCAAAGCAGCGCATAGTGGTTCGTTAAGTTTGACAGGCAGACGTCACAAATACGTCACAGCCACCGCCACTGATGTCTCAGCTGAGGTCACCTTGAAGTCACAGTCACAATAGTCTGGTTAGAACGAGAGGAGAAAATGAGAGGAAGAGAAGAGGAAGGGCTGCAAATAATACTCAATTTATAGTCACGTCATATGCAGCAATAATGTACAGTATGCACAGACAGGCACATATATTAATACATATTAAAATATATATAAAGATATATTAACCAGTCTATACTTTACAGATTGGTTAAGGCTTTTACACTTGAGTTTCTACTTCAGTAAAATCCAAATGTATTCAGGCTGACATCAGTACATTTACATGAATAAAACCTCTCTCTGTGTGTGTTTGTACCATTTAGAATTCTCCCACAAAAATATCAAAGTACAATTTATCTCCACTGGTTTATATAAATAAATCATTTTAAAAGGTGGAGTGTTCCAAGTGGAATACGTGGAAGATGATAGGAAGTAATCAGATATACTGTGTGTACAGCACATACAGTACTGTAGGTAACCAAATACTACGTGGAAATACTCTGAAAATTTCCACCTTAGCTCTGACTGAGGTATTCAATTTATTTTGTATGATTAAATGTAAAACCTATTCTGTAGATATTTCTTTGATTTTAATCTGTAAATAACATCTCGAGTCATTAAATATTACTGTTGTTTTCCTTAATATAAAGTACATATAGATATGGATTTTGTAATATTCATCATTTCCATTTTGACCCTCAGAAGAAGAAAGAAGAAACTGCTGAGTCATCATTATGTCTGTTATACAACAATATCAATATTAAAGTTCAGCATCAAATAAAAAAAGTTCATCATTAAAACACTACAGTTTTTGTTTATTTCACTTTTTAAACAACATGTTTGATTTGATTGGCTGAAGTGGAAAACATGTTTGTGTTGTTCCAGTTGCCCGGCGCAGCTCTCCCAGGAAGCAGAGAGTTTTTAATTGCTCCTGTGGGAAGATGGAAATAATGACCTGTTGACCACGTCCGACCTAATCACCCCGCTGCTGCTGCAACTGTGGGCAAATAAAACATGCAACTCCTGCCCCTCGGGCTCCTATTAATGCTTCTAAATCAGTAAATATTGGATCGCAGGTGAACAACGATGTTTTGTTTTTTTTAACAACGACCATAACTTGAGTCTCTGGGTGGAAATAATTGCCTCAGAAAGTGATGATACACAAGGGATCTGAAGAGTTGATGGACATTAGGACGACTGATCGACTCGCACAAGTTATTGCAGTGATATTTCATCATTCACAAACACACACACACACAGACAAACACACACACACTTTGGTTGAAGCTCCACTTTATTTACACTCCACAAACACTAGGCCTCTACTGTGGTGTTGTGTCACGTTGGTTTTTTTAAATATTTTTGTCTTTTATCTTTGTTCAAGGATCTGAATTTCTTAATGCATTTACACTCAACATAATTTAACTCAATTTAACACAATGTAACTGAACACATCATTTCATCATCCATCTCGTATCGTAACATTAAGGATGTCCGATATTATCGGCCGACCGATATTAGCATAATTATGTAACATCTGTAAGAATCGTTATCAGATTTTCCTCCGATAATGAAAACCCGATAACGCAATGCTTGGGTTTCCCCAAATACAGTGTGCCCGAAAAATAGTTTTGGGGGAAAAATGACTGTATATGAAAGTGAAAGTCACTATAGATCACACATCAACACAACAAACTACCACAGTGGAGTGACATTTTAATGAGTTTTTAGGCCTTTTATGATGTGGTGTTTTTAACACGCAGCCTTCAGGCCACACACAGACAGGACCATCGAACATTAGCAGAAATAATTCTACAAACTCATGAACTAACATTTATGAATTCGGTTTTGACATTTCCTGTTTTTTTGTTTGTTTGTTTGTTTTCAAAATAAATTGCAGTGGCTCAATATTTTTCCTTCATATGGAATAAGTGGAAAATAACTGTAATTCTTTCCCTTGTGTCTAATACTGATTGGATCCTGAGGTCAGAATGTTTTCCTCAGATTTATTATTTATTTATTTTAGTCGCCACAGTCGTGATCTGTGGAGTGATTTATCAGAGATTTTTAATCCGACTTAACTCAACCCAACCTGGGATTGTGGGGGGGGGGGCTAGGTGGTATTAGGATGAGAGCCTAATACCACCATGTGACCTTCAGGTGACCCAGAGTGGAAGGCTGTGCCTTATGACCTTTAATATGTCTGTCCAAGGACCTCCACGGTAGTCCTCTCTACAAGAAGGGGGCGCTGCAGAGAAAGGTCGAGGTCAAAACGAAGGCCAATTTGGATACAAGTGTGAAAACAAATGATGGTGTTCTGTGGGGGGGAGGTCATCTGTGATGACCTGTGTCAACATGACAAACGATGGTGACGTCATCGGAGTGGGTGTGGCTTGTCGGACAGTCTCCGAACTCATGGAGATTTACTCTTCAGCTCTCCTGCCTCAGAGCTCAGTCAGGGACGGGTGACAGCAGGAGACCAACAAAAAAAAGTGATTTTTTTTTTTTACATTATTGTTGACATCAGCATTTATGACCAAGAAAATGTTTTCCTCCATTTGTTCTGTGTTGATGGAGTGACTGTGTGACTTTGCTCTTCTTCCACGTTTTCATCCCGAGGTTTTTAAATGCTGTGTTTGTTTGTGGTGTTAAATGGAAAATAACACTTTCCCACTGTACTTCAATCTGACGATGTTCCTGAACCTGGGCAGCTTCCGTTACCCGACGTTCGTCCTGTGTTTCCTGTTGTACGTCTTCATCGTGTCCGCTAACGCCGTGATAATAATGGTGATAACGCGGGAGAAGAACCTCCACGAGCCCATGTATTTGTTCATAGTCTGCCTGTGTCTCAACTCCATTTACGGCTCCACTGGTTTCTTCACCCGCTTCCTCAGAGACCTTCTGTCCGACTCTCACCTGATCTCACGCTGGGCCTGTTTCACCCAGGTCTACGTCATTTACACCTACGCCTCCTACGAACTCACTATCCTCGGGATAATGGCGTACGACCGATACGTGGCGGTGTGTCAGCCTTTACATTACCACAGCAGAATCTCTCTGCGGGTGGTCTACAGACTGGTGGCGCTGGCGGTCATCTACCCGGCCTTCTCCGTCTTCACCTGTGTCTATCTGTCCGCCAGACTCCCTCTGTGCGGGAACGAGATTCCGAAGGTCTTCTGTGCCAACTGGCCCATAGTCAAACTCTCGTGCGTCCCCACGGGGCTCAACAACCTGGTGGGCATGCTGGTGTCGACCACCACCGTCTTCCTGCCGCTGTTGTTTGTGCTCTACACGTATCTGCGCATCGTTCTGGTGTGTCGGAAAAAGTCGTCCGAATACAAGAGCAGGGTGATCCAGAGCTGTCTGCCTCACATCGTCACCTTCGTCAACTACTCCATCACCGTGTTCTGTGACGTGTCCCTCAGCAGGATCAACGTGGAGGAGCTGAACCCCTTCCTGGGGGTCATCCTGTCGCTGGAGTTCGTGGTGATCCCCCCCATCCTGAACCCGCTGGTGTACGGACTCAAGTTACCCAAAATCAGAAAAGTTGTCTTCAAAATGCTGTCGTGTTTAAAACGTTGTCACTGACGTCGACGTGACCCCGCGCTGCTCATCACTGCAGAGTGTTTTTACTCAAAGACACTGTTTATTAAATGACATTTAAGAAAATAAAACAAATATATACATTTAAGAAAATAAAACAAATATATAAAAATCGAGATACAGCGAACACCCGACACTGTCTCCCGCTCTGGTTATTTCACCCATTTTTATAACAATAATATAAAATGTTTTTTGAATTATAATCATAAAATGTTATCAATATATTTGTTTATATCGGTGTTTTTGGTGTTTAGATGGGAGGTTAATTCAAATATATTTCTGGTACAATTTTGCAATCGAGACACGAGTGGATCGAGATACGAGTGTCTATGTGGACCGGATTAAACACACACTGTAAACACGTTCATTTCATTTTTGTTCATTCAGAGTTTGTTCGGTCAAACGAGACGATGCTCCGTGATGTCACAAAAAATGTGCAGTCGTGTTTTTAAAAAAAAAGTATAAAATACTTTTATACAGAAAAAAAACAGTGACTGATTTGTTCTAAAATTCTGATCAATGTCCAGACGTCACTTTAATTTCTCTTTAACGTGACTTTAAATTCTACTTCCAGTCTGATTCTTTATACATCAGTAAAATACAGTATATAAATAATGAATGGATGCTTCTCTAACACTAACAGCTGTTACATTTATATTTCAGCCTCTTTGAAGTTGTTTTAGTTTTGTTGCAATTTAACATTATTTTATTATGGTTTGTATTTTAGCTTTGTTTTTAAATGTAAAACTGAGATTTAAACGTGCTGTGAAGACTTCATGCCGTGGTTTTCAAACTGAGGTTGGAGGCCCACTGGGTGGCGCTGAGTTATTGCAGTGGGGACACAGCAGATCATATTAATGAAACATCACTGATTTGTAAATTTATTTTTTTCTTTTTGGGAGAATTCCCATTTTTAGGAACTACAGTGACGTAGAAAAGAGTTCATGTCGAGTGATGAAGCAAAATCTGTGAAAATGATGTGTGTGTGTGTGTGTGTGGGCAGGTGGGTGTCAGCGAAAAAAGGGGGCGCTGTAGAACACACACACAGAAAAACAGATTTTTGTCTTTTAGGAGGATTTCAAACAGACATAATGTATTCCCTGTTCCCTTACACCAGGTGTGGCCAACCCGTGGGTCGGGAGCCACATGTGGCCCTTTGCCTGGTTTAATGCCGCTCTTACGTTGATGTCAGATTTTGTGTTTTTTAGTTTTTTTATTTATCCTATTTGAATCTCACCTGCAGGATCGTTCATGCAAATTTGCACACAAAATGGAATGTGTCTGTTGTTGTTGTTGAACTCAGGCATCATTAGTGCATTTCAAGGCTTCAAGGCTAATTAATCCTGACCCTAACTCTAATCTGGCTCTTCATCTAATCCTAACTCAGAACCAAAGGTTTAACCTCAAAATGAGCCTCTAACAAAGTGGGAACAGACCAAAATGTATTATTATTATTTTATTATTTATTTTATTTTTAAAAAAAATCACTGCCCACTACCCACACCCACCCCCCACTGCTCCCCCAGTACGGCTACACCAGGAACACACCCACAGACGGAGCCTTCTGATTGGTTTGTCTTCGTGTCGTTGTTCCCAGAGAAGGATATAAAACAGGACGAACATCGTCTCAGGTTCCTGGGAGCCGACACTCACCCATTACCCCCAGCACTTTGGTAAAAAAAATATATATATATATATATTGTTATAAAGTTGTGAGTTTTAAACTTGTGTTTAACCTGACAATTAAAAAAAAACAAACAACCCAAACATAGAAATGGAAAACTCTTCCGTTGTCATGCTGTTAACTCTTTCCGGTTTGGACTTTCCTCTGAAGTATAGAAGTGCTGTGTTCGTGCTGACTCTGCTGTGGTACTGTCTGATTCTGATTGGAAACATCACCATAGTCTCTGTCATCGTGGTTGATAAAAACCTCCACGAGCCAATGTACATCTTCCTGAGTAACCTCTGCATCAACTCCCTGTACGGCACCGTCGGCTTCTACCCCAAGTTCCTGCTGGACCTGCTGTCGACCCACGTCATCTCCCACGCTGGCTGCATGCTGCAGGGTTACGTCATACACTCGTCCGTGTGCGCTGACTTTACCATGTTGGCCCTCATGGCGTACGACAGGTACGTGGCCATATGTCACCCCCTCACCTACCACTCGTTCATGAGCAAACAGAGGATCTCGGCCCTGGTGCTGGTCACGTGGCTCGTGCCCCTGCTCTCCATGTTCATGAACACGGCCACGCTCCTGGGCTCCAGGCTGTGCGGCTCCTACATCAACAAGGTCTACTGTGTGAACTGGATGATGGTGAAACTCGCCTGCGCGTCCCCGCCGGGGAACGCGGCGGTGACGTATTTTAATATATGTTTGTATTGTGTGCTCTTGGTCTTTATTGTGTGGACGTACGTGCGTCTGATAAGAACGTGTCTGGTGTCGTTAGAAAACCAGAGGAGGTTCATGAACACGTGTGTCCCACATTTGATTTCTCTGTTCACCTTCAGCGTCAGCGTGCTGTTGGATGTTCTCTACATGAGGTTCGGGTCCGTCGACATATCCATGGACCTGAATAATTTCATGGCCATGGAGTTTTTAATCATCCCACCAGCTGTGAACCCGTTATTGTACGGATTCAAACTCGCCAAAATACGGCGAACAATTATAAATGTCGTGTTGATTAGACGGAAGCCTGCGGTGTGTGCGCTCCAGGGTTCGAAACCCTGATGAGCTCTGATTGGACAGACACAGTAAACATTGAATATATTTTTCTTTTTCAGTGGTTCTTAATGTTTTTCTGATAATTATATTTGAAACAAATGAAAAGTAAAATCAAGTCAAAAAGTTCTCAGACGGTTTATTTCGATTTCACTGTAATTACCAGTTGTTTACACAGGATGTATTTGTGTTGAACTGCGTTGAACCTTCTGTTCTGAGAGCAAACTATAATGTTTTACCTAAGTTGTGAATCTATTCAGATTCTCTCAGCAGGTTTTGATTTATGGCCTCAGTTATTTTTCTTTACAAAAACTGAAAAAAAGGCCTGGATTCCAATAGAAAAATACTAAAGTACTTGGTGAAAATCCTTTCAAATATTCTCTGGCATATATTTCATTTTGTTTTGATGTCTTATTTATTGCACTAACAAAGTCGTCCTTCTATGAACTGTTTCTTGCAGTGATTCATCATTTAACAAACGAAACATCTGTAATCAATTTGTTTTAAATCAATCAGATTCAATCCAAAAAAAAAAAAAAATCAAACATTTCTCCACATTAAAATATAATTCAAACACCCAGAGGCCGGCCTGGTTCTAATGTTCTCATGAATTCATCACACTGACAAGAGACAGAGCGCCATCTACTGAAACATGAAAATAAAAACGACTAAAAGTCCAACATGTAATAAAGTGCAGTGTATTTATTTTTAGTTGACAACAAAATATCAACCAGCACCGACCAAACCGTGATGATGTAAATCAGTGGCTGGATTAGAAATCGCTGCATCATCAATAACAGCAGGTAGAGGTCAGTGTTTCTCACCTGTTTTATTTTTTGTGACTAAAACAAATGATTGAATTATTGATATGGAAAAAAGTCAAGAAAAAAAACCCCAAAACTTCATGACGGTTCATCTGGACGGTGAACGTGGTTCTGAAGTTCAGTCCAGTCGTTGTCCTCCCCAAAAACTTCATGACAGTTCATTTGGACGGTGAACGTGGTTCTTTCTGAAGTTCAGTCCAGTCGTTGTCCTCGACAACATTAATGTTGTTGTACAGTCCTGAACAGTCCATCTGACTGTTGTGTCAGTCAGACTGGACGTCTGACCCAAAGTTGAAAGTTGAACCCTCATTGTTCATCAAAGCGTCCACAGGACGACTGACAGATTGTTTCACTGATCACTGATTGGCTGGTTTCATTCCAAGCATGCGCCCCCTGTCTTCAGTCAGGATATAATTACCAGTCAGAGTGAAGCAGGGCAGTGGCCTGTGAATGCACCGCCGCTCCATGTCATGATGACATGCTGCTTCTTTGTCCATGATGGGAAATGTCACTTTGATCACAATGTTTTTTCTCTCTGGTTTAGATGAAAAGATGAGCCACAGGTTTATTCTCTTCTCACTCACTCTGCTCTGTTATTGTTTAATTTTACTGGTAAATATTTCTCTGGTTTTAGTCATCATTCTGGACAGAAACCTCCATGAGCCCATGTACATTCTGCTCTGCACATTCTGCATCAACGGACTCTATGGCACCGCAGGTTTCTACCCTAAGTTCCTGTGGGATCTGCTCTCTCCTCTCCACGTCATCTCTTACTCCGGCTGCCTGGTCCAGGCCCAGGTCATGTACTCCTTCGCCTGCGGTGACCTCTCCATACTGGCGGTGATGGCGTACGACAGATATGTGGCCATATGTCGACCGCTGCAGTACCACGCTGTCATGTCCAAGCAGAGAGTGTTAAAGTTGGCGTTCTTCTCCTGGTTCACGCCTGCCTGTATTTTAGCCGTTAACATTTCCCTGACGTCCAGGCTGAGGCTGTGCAGCGCCTTCATCGCCCGGCTCTTCTGCGCCAACTGGATCATCGTGACACTGGCGTGTGTTC